AGGCGGGGCTTGCAGTGAGCTGAGATCCGGCCACTGCACTCCAGCCTGGGCAACAGAGCAAGACTCTGTCTCAAAAAAAAAAAAAAAAAGGCCAGGCACGGTGGCTCCTGCCTGCAATCCCAGCACTTTCGGAGGCCAAGGTGGGCCCATCCCAAGGTCAGGAGATTGAGACCATCCTGGCTAACACGGGGAAACCCCGTCTCTACTAAAAATACAAAAAAAATTAGCTGGGCATGGTGGTGGGCGCCTGTAGTCCCAGCTACTCGGGAGGCTGAGGCAGGAGAATGGCGTGAACCCGGGAGGCAGAGCTTGCAGATCTTGCCACTGCACTCCAGCCTGGGCAAGAGCGAGACTCTGTCTCAAAAAAAAAAAAAAGACTAAACTATATCATACCTAGAAGAACCTAACCTAAAACAAAAAGATACACAAGAGTTAAAAGCAAAAGAACAGAAAGAAATGAAAATAAATTCAAAAAGAAGAAATACTAACAGATAATATTTATTTAATAAGTATTATGTGTCAGACACAAAGTTAAATAGGTTATTCAAGGTAAAATAATTAAGCAGAAGTTGAGGTTTTCATATCATACAAAGTTGTAATCAAAGTAAAAAGGCATTATATTGACCAAAAAGCTTGTTTTACAATAATTAGGGATGCTCTACACTGAAGATAAAATATACAATATGAATAAGAACATGGTAAAATTGTGTAAATGTTCTATGGATACTTTAAAAGAAATATTCTCTATCTTCATATCTTATTAGATCTCCATTACTAATCATATATAATTCAGATCCTCTATATCAGTGATCAGTGTAGATTTTCTGTAAAGGGCCAGATTAGAAGCAATTTAGACTCTGCAAGCCACACATTTGTAGCATGAAAGCAGCATAGATGATACATAAACAAATGAGCATTGCTGTGTTTCAGTAAAATAGTGGATTACAGGCAGTGGCTTATGGCTATGATCCCGGCACTTTGGGAGGCCAAGGCAGGCAGATCACCTGAGGTCAGGAGTTTGAGTCCAGTCTGGCCAACATGGTGAAACCCCGTCTCTACTAAAAGTACAAAAATTACCCAGGCGTGGTAGCGAGTGCCTGTAATCCCAGCTACTTGAGAGCCTGAGGCAGGAGAATGGCTTGAACCCGGAGGGCGGAGGTTGTAGTGAGCTGAGATCTCATCACTGCACTCCAGCCTGGGCTGGAGATAAGAGCGAGACTCCATCTCAAAAAAAGCAAAAACAATTTAAAAAAAAGAAAAAAACCACTTTATTTACAAAAAGAGGCTATAGGCCATATTTGGTCCATGGACCATATTTTGCCATCCCTACTCTATTATGAGTGCTTAATAGGAACTATGGTCCATGGGCCAAATGGAACATTTGCCAAAAAATGAGCAGATTTAGAATACAAAGGCAAATCTGGAATTCTAAAATAAGAAATGTACAGACCATATAGTCTGACCACAGTGCAATAAAAATAAGAATAAAAGAAGAAACTAACACCCTGAACTACTCAGGAAATCAAAGACTCCTCAAGCAAAAATGCTATTCAATTTATTGTTTACTATACCACCATATGAATTCCTCAGCTTAATCTGTGGACTTTAAATAGTAGTGGACTCAGAATGAGAAGAATAAAATCACGCCGTCAAAACTGTTCTTCATACCTTGTAGTCTTTGATTACCATTAAAGACTAGAATACAAAAAAGCCAGTTCTAAAGAGGACTTCCAAGGTGACATGTGCAGATAGAGAGGGGCTAGAATCTAAACACAGGAGAGGAAATTGGGGGCCTCCCCAAGATCCCTATGAGGAACTCAGGCCCAGCCCCTTGGCTGATCACAGTTCCCTGTTCCTGTGGACCTGGGAGGAGAAATCAGTCTTCCTGACTCAAGGCTGAGAGCTCTTCCCAGGAAACAAAAGGGTTCTGCTCATTCTATTCTGCCCTTGAAGCACTCACCTCTCCACACCCTTGGAGGGGCCCCTTGTCTCCCAGGTAGCCCCTCTCCTGGCCATTCCTTCTCCTCATTCCTTCCTTCACCTAGCAGACACCGGCATTCAAACCTGGAGGTTGTATGCCCCCTTTGCCCTCACCCCTCCGGTGGTCCCTAGCCCATTGTATCTGAAGTGACTGAAGTGTTCCCCGTCAGGAATGAACCTATAGCAGTGGCTGATTCGGCCGAACCCCTCAACAGGTGTGTTGTTTACACAAGCCTCTGAGGAGAAAATCAGCCTGGAAAGAAGTCAGGAATCGAAAGTCCTTCAAATTTCTTGATTCTGAACAGGTTTCAGCTGTTGGCTAGCCTTTCCCATCGATGTTTAGAGCTGTGTGCTAGCCTTTCCCACGGATGCTTAAAGCTATTTGTGGCCGGGCGTGGTGGCTCACACCTGTAATCCCAGCACTTTGGGAGGCTGACGCAGGCGGATCACCTGAGGTCGGGAGTTCAAGACCAACCTGACCAACATGGGGAAACCCCGTCTCTACTAAAAATACAAAATTAACCAGGTGTGGTGGCACATGCCTGTAATCCCAGCTACTCAGGAGGCTGAGGCAGGAGAATCGCTTGAACCCAGGAGGCAGAGGTGGTGGTGAGCTGAGATCAGGCCATTGCACTCCAGCCTGGGCAACAAGAGGGAAAGATGGTCTCAAAAAATAAAATAAAATAAAATAAAGCTATTTGCCAGCCTTCCCCAAGGACGTTTAAGGGACCAGATTGAACAGCATCTACGCTATTCCCAAGTCCTTTCTATAAAGTTGTGGGTGGAAGGTAAGCTCTTAGTGCACATTCAACTTCCTTCTGTCCCAGGTTCCTGAGCAACTCAAGGGACACTAGAGTGGAACTGACCGCCACACACATCAAGAGAAAAGGGATGGGCTTCCAGATCTAATTTGCAAAACTCAGAAGGGCTTTTTGCAGTATCTG